GAATACATGTAGACTTAGAGGCACAAGATTAAAAACAGCTGCATTTACTGAGAGATCAGATCCTGAGACACAGGAAAGACTGGAGTGAAGTCATTGCTCAGGTCACATGGAAATGGACACCTGGCTTGGTCAGAAGTTACTACTGTGTTGTCGCCTCCAAGAACGGGAACCAAAACATCAGGATGCTGTGAACACTTCGGTTTCCAGTGCTGCTGGTCTGAACCACTCTTCATTCAAAGGCAGCAGTGTCAAGTAGCCTGGGCCTATGCCCTCAGAGGGGACAGAGGCAGAGACACGCCCCCTCCCAGGGCGAGGGGACATTGAGGACAGAGGCAGGTGGGGCCTGGGGCCCGGCTCACCTGTTGGTGGGGGCAGGCCTGGTTCCTGAGGGATCCGTCAAGCCAGCAGGGCCTCTCAAACCAATAACCAAGGGCCCAGGATTCAAGGAAGATCCCCCACAAGGAAGAGCTGTTGAAGGACCCGAGGGTAAGAGAGCCAAAGCGACTTTAGCGGAGAGGAAAAAAGCTCCTAATCATTATCTTTAGAGAAATATGGAACCACAATGCACTGGTGATAACAAAGACATAACAATTATGACATGAGAAATCAGACATGTCTTTCAACAGAAACTATGGTCACAAAATCTAAAGAAAAAAAAACCCACAACAGCAGCACGGAAGGCAACGGGACTGCAGCCGGAGCCTGCTCGTCGCAGCTGAGGGCAGCCTTGTATCAGAGGTGCTTGAAAACTGACATGACAGCAATAAAAAATTAAAGAAAACAACATACAAGGCAAATGACACAGTGGAGTAACGGGGCACTGAGTCTGAACAGACAATTATGCAGAGAAGATACATGATAGCCAGTGAGCACACGGGAGGACCGCCAGCACCCCTAGCAACGGGGACCCACGTGCAGAGCTGAACTGTGGCGACACCTCCTCGCCCGCTCCGTGAGGCCAGCATTACCCCAACACCGAAACCAGAGAGACATCACATGTCAAGACATCTGCAGAACAGCATTCCTTATAAATACAGAAAAAAAAAAAAAGCCCTCAATGAAATACTAGCAATCCAAATCTGGGATGTGTAAGGAGGGTTCAGCACCATGGCCAAGTGGGGTCTATCTCAGGAGTGAGAAGGTTGGTTCAAAGGAACAAAGCACTGGCATCATATACCTTATTAATAAAGAACAAAAACCACACGATCACCTCAACAGACTCAGAAAAAGCATCTGTCAAAACACGTCACCTCAGGATAAAAATACTCAGCAGTGATAAAAAAAACTCCGTAGAGGGGAGGGTGTAGCTCAGGGGAAGAGCAGGTGCTTAGCGTGCATGAGGCCCTGGGGTCAATCCCCAGCACCTCCATTTAAAATAATTTATTAATTAATTTAAAAAATACTCAGCAAACTAGGAACAGAATGTACTAAACACTAAAGGGCCTCTTGGAGAAGCTCACACTTAACATTCGGACAGACATTTCTCCAAAGAAGGAACACAAATGGCCAGTAAGTTCATGCAAGGATGCTGGTCATCTGTCACCAGGGAAACGCGAGTCACAAGTACAAGCGGCTACCCCTTCACACCCAAACACACCCTAGAAGGCCAGGACGGGCGTCACCCCGGGGCCGCCCACTGGGAGGTACTACCAGGAACCAAGTGAATAAAAACCTACACCTTCAGCTAATGGAACAAACATCTCCTGTGCATGTGCACTGAGTCACACGGCACCAGGATCCACGAGGACCCAAGAGGGACGAGCAGTCAAGCGTGAGCCGCTCAGACCGGCGCCCGCTGCCCACAGCGCACGAGGACACCCCCAGGCAGCAGGTCACAGCCGCCCTGAGCTGGGGGCGGGCGCTCCACACCTGCCCTCCCCCCTCACGGTGGAAGTGCCCCCGCCCCTGGGCCTCAATTCTCCCCCAGGAGGAACCACTCAAGTTTAAATTCTGACCCAGAGAAACCCTCAGATTCACTAACCCTCTCAACGGCAACTGAGCCCACGGAACCGTCCCGAGTCTGACCTTCACAGCCTCACTCAGGACGCACACGTCACGCTCAGCCCATCAGCTCCTCCGATGAGGCCAAAACCCGAGTCAGGGAACAGCGCCACCTCAGAGGACACGCCGCCCCCAGCAGTTCTGCAGGTGACCCCCTGCCCCCACGCTCGCGGCATCAACAGCTCCTCCTGTGGCGGTTCTCTGGTCTGGAGGCCACCTGCACGGGGTGGGCGACAGCAGGACCCCAGGGCGCCTTCCGTCACCTCCCCGAGTCAGCTCTGGGCTCAGCTTGTCCCCACCCCAGATGACACACCTGCTTCAAGCACCGTGGGGTCACTTCCAGCAGATGGACCCTCCTCCCAGCATGTGAGTGAGAGCCCCGGGGATCACTGCTTCCTCCTGTGTTCACTGGGGAGTCCACCTGAGCCACCCTCCAGCCGCACCCACTGATCCACCCCCACCCTCACACCATTTAAAGGACCAGGACACACCCCTTCCCCTCCGGAAGCTAGCAAGGGAAATTTCCTTATCTTCACGCCCTCCTGCTGCAGCAAGAGTGCCAATAAAGCCTTGCCTGAATTTCTAGTCTGGCTTCTGATCTATTTCTATTATTTAAAGAGCCCAAAGACCTTCCATTGTTTAAAGGGTTGGTAACAGTTTGAGTAACTGGACACTTCTCATGCCTTTCAGAAGACAGCTACCAGCTCCCCAACATCCTCCAGGATAATGAGCTGAAAATCATCTAATCAGAAGTCAGCAAGTCTCAGTAGCCCAAGTCACATGTCACAGCATCTCCACGGATCTGTGCTGACCAGCTACTGACAGGAAGTGGCCCAGGATTAGACAGCGTCACCAATCTGCTCCCTGAGGGCACCATTTCTCTGAATCTTTGTAATCCGTATCTCCATCCATTTTACATGAAGGTGGGGGAGTGCCAGCACATCCCTCAATTCTAATGGGAGACTATAAGACTTTCTGCACTGGGACACTTGTCCCCAGAGGCATCTCTGGTTAAGGCCCAAAGGCCAGGAATAACACGTATCTGCAGGAAAGAGCAGAGACCTGAGATGCTTCCTACCCTCACTGAGGAGAAGAAACCAGAAGAGAAGAAATCAGAACTTTACACCAGCTGAAACCTGAAGCTGGAGCAGGGGAAGCGATCAGTGCTGAGCTGGACCCAGAGAAGGCTGCTCACAGGGGTCAGGTGGCAGGGCCGAATCTGTAATAGAGGAGAACAGATCTGACTCCAGACTAGATCCATTCCTTTAGTTTTAACCACTGTGCCCTGTTTTCTAGGCTCAGTCTCGCCAGCTCTGCACCTTTTGTGAAACAATGTTGCCTTTAGCCTAAAATACACAGGACAGCCTATTCTCGGGGCTGATTTTTAAGGATGCTAGCACTTCTACACTTAGGTAGAGATGGCAAGTTGCAAAATAGAGAATGACCTTTGTTTCATTGGAGATTTACAGGTACACCATGGCCTGATCCACATGGAGGGCTGCCAGAATGAAGAATTCCTGCACCAAGAAGTTTGCAACAACGAAGTACAACCCCTCCCCTGTTCTGTTCTGGGTTTTTTGTTTTTTTGTTTTGTATAAAAGGAGCCTGTATTCTGACTGGACCTGGGTGGTTCTCCAAGACATTAGTGGGCCATCCTCTGTCTGCTGCCTTTCTGAATGAAGTCGCTATTCCTTACCCCAACACCTCATCTCTCGATTTATTGGCCTGTCGTGTGGTGAGCAGAATGAGTTTGGACTCGGTAACAAATCCTCCCTGAGCCCTGTGCTTCTGGAAACTTCCATGGAAGGTCACCACCCTTCTGTGTTCTGGAAAAGGGGCAGGCTGCAAGAAACCACCCGCTTCCCTCTCTGACTTAGAGAAGACCCACCAGAGGCCCCTTGTTTATCCAGGACAAGGCCAGACAGGCCCCCACATCCCAACTCCCCCCCATCAGTGATGAGCTGAACTGCTCGCAGATGCTTGTTGGCCAAACCTTGTTCAGCTCCTCTCCTGACCCCCGACACCTGACCTTTGGCCTCACCCCAGCCAGCAGACACATCTCTAAGGACAGGCCATCTGAGCATCACACCTGGTCCTTCCTGATTTTGTTTACTCTCCATATAAAAGGAAAACTCTGTGCCCAACTCCTGCAATGCTCCCGGATCTCAGGGTCGCGTTTGCCCTCCTGCGTAGCCCCCTCATCCCCGGTGGAACCGTCCCTTCTCCCTGAGCAATAATTCTTTAGTGTGAAAGTCTACCTTTAGGAAGTTTGTACTTTTCATTTGACACTGGCTTGACCAAGTGTTCCAAGTTGCCCATTTATTACCCAAACTTTACTTAGGCTCCTGTCTCCCCACAGGCCCCTGACTTGGGGTCACGAGCCCCAACTTCACCCCTCCAAACCCCCAACAAGCCCTGAGATGCAGAACAAAGCTCCCCACCACCATGGCCTGGGCTGAGAACGGACTGACCACAGGGAGGCCTCATGCAGTCAAAGAGCCTTGCTCTCACCCTTCTTGCTTAGAAGAGAAAAGCCCATTTCTGTTTCGTTGGAGACCCCCGCACATCTGTGAGGTCAGAGACTCCTCCAGATTCCAAGTCTCTGGAACGTTAAAAAGAAGACCACTGGCCCCCAATGGAGTGGCTTATGCTAAGTCCCCAGTCACCACAGGGAGACAATTACAGTTTCAGCCCCTCCCAGAAACGGAATCTGAAACCAGTCTATCAGGAATTACCCGGTCAGCACAAGTGAGATCATCTGCCCGACAGACCCCTGCCCTGCCTGAAGTAAAGCAGCCCCGCCACCCACAATCCACTTTCGCTGGCTCCTCCGCCCGCGCCCTTCTGCCTATACCCGCCTTTCATTTAGTGCGGCTCCCGGCCGCCTCCTTTTCTCTACTGGGTGAGAAGCTGCCTGACTCGTGAATGACTGAATAAAGCCAGTAAGAGCGTCACAAATTACGGTGCTGAATTCTATTTTTCTTTCCTTTCTTTCTTTGTTTCTTTCTTTTTTAACAGGACTCGTGTCTGTCCTTATCTGAGTGAGGATTTGACTTTATCTGTCCGGTCTGGGAGGGTTCCCCTGCCCCAGCCTGACCGCCGCCGGGGTCACCCAGTCCTCCCTGGGACCCCCCCATACTCGGGTCGGGACCCCTACCCGGGGCGAGGGGAAGGGACAGGACGCCGGGACCCTACCCCGCTGCCAAGGGGGACACTTGGGTCGGAACCCGGGGGAGCCGGCACGAGGAGACCCAGGCCTGCTTCAGCTCCCTGCTGGTCTTTAACAGCCCCTCCCGATCTGGGCCCCGGACCCCTGCACTAACCATCTCCGTCCCGCTCCGGGGTCTCCAGGCTCCCTTCCCGCGGTCCTGAGACCTGAGCAAGTGAGAGCGAC